CAGCTTTCTAGCTTTTCTGGTTCGCAAGTTAGCGAATTACTCACAAAAAACTTTCACGGGCTCGTACGTGGGTACCACGCAGGTAAGGACGCTCATTTTGGGATTGGGACCCGTAAGTGCGTATAGATTAAGTCCCAGAGTTTCAGCCTTGTAGCTTTTATAGGTCTGGAGATGACAAATCGGTACAGGCGCACACATAGACACAAGGACAACCCGTCGTCAATATGCCTTTTTTGCATTGCATGGATGCAAAAAACGCGTAACAACGAAACTGCAAAAAGTGCTTTTGTGATAGTGTTTTGTTTAGCTTTGGCCTCCTTGTTGTGATTGTTGTTAAACTAACTAGACTGCCGTATGTGATAGCTAAATTTGCGTGGGGGATGGGTTTCAGTGCAGTGACGTGTGGTGCCTCATGAACATGGTTTCAGTCTGTGGCGTCATCTTTCTAGCGCGAAGTGCAATTGGTCGGAAACCTCTCAGGACAACGATGGAGATGAACGAAGGAACACCAGAGCGGCGTGCAGACAGTGAGCAGGAGACGGCGATGAATATGGGCGAGGTGCTGCAATCGCTGAACTCGGCATACGATCTGAAACTGGCTGAGACCGAAATGCAGCTCGCTGTTAACGTAAAAATTGTCTTTTCGTAATTCGTTCTTCCTTTCTTTTTTCGGCTTCTAACAGACACTGCATTGACGACGAGCTTCTTTCGTAAGGAGGCATTGGCGGATCCGCCCAGGGGCTTAGTAGCTATTTTACTGTAGAGAAATCTGCATGAAACCCCTGTGGGCTCCTTCCGCCAGGAGACCGGCCTGGATCCGCACATCTACAGTGCACGAGTTGAGAGGCACAGTCAAGGAGCTTTTTAGAGAAGCCGGCATGGCTGGGCTGCGTTGCAAGGTCAGGACGCTTCTCAGCTGAGAAAAGTCTGATTATTATTATCTATGATACGCGCTGGATTTGCATGAGGAAGCATTTAAGGATAAGTTGCTGGAATGCATGGGGAATGAGGGGGCGAAGATCGAGCGGGAAACGAGCGCGGCCCAGCGAAACAACGAGCAGATACGAGATGAGGAGCGGAGCATGGAAAAAAAGGTGGACGAGCTCATTGAACGGTTGGTATTGAGTGCTTTGACGACTACTGTGCTCGCTTACCAAGGGGACCTTAATGCGTATGCGCTTACAAGGCCAGTTGGCTTTTGGATCGCGTTGTCTCCTGACAGTCGGCTTCTGGGTCCCATGTTGGTAGAGTAAGAAGGGAAAGAGGTGGTAAGTAAGGGAGAAGAAAGGGCAAATGTGGCTTCTTAAGATGCGATCATGCTGCTCTCAGATATGATATCATCTAACCGTAGTCGAGTTGTGCACGTATTTCGAACACACCGACAATGGTCATTGGCTTGTTTGACCATTCTCTGGTACACTGCATGCACTGCTTTTCAACCAAATGAGTCGCTTTTCCCCTCTTCTTTCCTCCCTCCCTACTATTGCTCGTCGGTTTTTTGAATTTACCACCTCATTTTTGCGCAGCTGCTCTTGAATTGTGTGTTTGGGGGCATCCCAGCAACAACATGTGAGTCGCAGACCGCTTTTACCAGCAGTCTGGGCATACTGGATATTGGTTAAATTGCGAACTCAGCTATGTTCGTGCGTTTGCAAAAGAATATATCGAAAGACGGGGTTCTTCATGTACCCTCTTTTTGCTCTTCGAAAATTTTCATATTGTTATGCCGAGTGAACTGACTTCTTTCTCTGCAACTGATTTACACGCTCGCGTCTGTTTGCGTCCTCGTTGGACGCCGACTTTCCCGTATATGCGCGTTTTCAGCGTTGATTATATGAATTTGTTTAGTGTGAACGAGCACTGCGTGGAAGTGGAGGAGTTGCAGAAGAAGGAGCGTGACATTACAGCGGAAAAAAATGAAGGTTTGCTTATTTCAGACAGAGTATTTCTACAACAAGCGCATCAACATGCTCAATTTGTTACAGTCCTGTAGAGCTAGTCGCGAAAGCGCGCTGCCCTCCGAAACAACTCGAATTGGCGCATTTCATGAATTCGTCCCGCACAACAACTCATTAACCGTACAAAAGCGCGTCCCACATTGCCTTATAGAAATCAAATGATAGAGTTTGGTATGGGACATCGGCTGTCTTGTTTAGAAAATGAAAATCCTCAAATTTTCATCCCTAATATTTGATGTAGAACTAAACGGATGTCTCGGTATTTTATAACTTTTGATGATCGCATTGCCGGTAACATCTTTTTCTATGGTGAAATTTGCTAATCAGTGGATGTTTGCTTGTCAGATCTGCTAATTTTAGTTGAGGCACTGATGTGCGATGCCCAGCAAGCAGTTCATAAGGATCTCGAAAAGCTGAGCATAATTAGCGAAGGAGCACGAAAACATCTGGCAAGCATTCCCAGTGCATTGCAAATCGACTGCGATGGTATCATCGTTCTCTCTATTAAAATAGTGCAGAAAATCAATTTGTTCTTTGCTCTTTTTGTAGCTTTTCAGAGGAATTCGAAGAAGCAAGTTTTTTGGGCCTACGGTATTCTTTCTGAGAAAAAACTGCAGAGTAGTTCTTTTGGAGGTTAATAAGCAGTGAGCGGTAAAAGTGAGCCTGGGAGTCAGCTCTTGAGGGGCGTGCGAAAGCTGAGCACGTTGTGAGGATTGAAGGCTTCGCGGAAAGAAAGCACTGAACCAAACTGCAAACATTAATTTGAAGAAAAAAATGAGGAAATCATTGCTGGCGTGAAATTTACTGACTCAGCTTCAGGCCTGATCTCTTGAAAAAGCGGTTTAGGAATGTGCAGGCAAGCTATTGCCGCGCCTCACCCAGGCCCACCCACAGGTGTGGGGAGAAATCTCGACTTAGTGGACATTTCTAGTTATGCACACGCTGCGCTCATTTTACCGGAGCCAGATAATAAGAAGTCAATTGGCTGAGCACAGTCCTTGTGGGACGGTTCAGAATTATTGGTGTACACAGATGCGCCGAACGCATTTGTCGTGTCAAATACAGTGAGTGATAGATAAACTTTATTCTAGAACGTTTCATTTCACTCTTTTGTGGGTGTGTAAAAAATCTGCAAAAGCGGATCACAAGGAGGGGGAAGGAGCAGGGACCTCTGGAGTAGGGAAAACATTTATTCCTAAATGAAGGGGCGCTAGAATACGACGGAATGGGAAAAGGATGCGAGTTCGAAAGGCGAGTTGAGCGGAGAGAAGGAAATTACGTGCGAACTCCGGGAGCCGACAGTTGCAGGTTCTGTTGGGGCGTTTAGGCATTGCTGTCTACATGTATACCGTTGAATTACATTGACGCTGTGTTCTTGATCTTGGTGTATTAAAATAAACCCAGGCTGGAACGCACGGGGCGGGCCCATGTGGTCACGCGTTTTTGCACTGGACTTGAATTACTCAGGTCATTAACTGTATGAATGGCTGTTGCTTTACATCTACCTTTTGCGGTC